ATTTTGAATATTTCCGTCTAGAAAATCCTGATGGTTGGGCACTCCCACCATGTATGGAAGAAAGTGCCCGGGTCTATGCAAACTCTGAGGCATGCTGAAGAATAGTTAGGGGTATATTTAGCTATTCTCGCTGGTACTAAGTACCAACGGGTTAAGACTTTGTAGTTGGTCTCCAAAGCCACAATATTCTGCGACGACCCCTTGGTGGTAGACCAAATACGGTCCCAATCCGAGGGATCAATTTCGTGGCCCAGGTCCAAATCCCATATCCGCGCGTTAGAAGGTAGGGAAGCTTCGGACGGGGTTGTAAGGAGAGAGTACAGGTATGAAATAAGGCCACGTCTGTGAGGGTCTTTACTACAAGTTCGTTCAAAGGAGGACATGGCTTGTGTTGGGTTAGCAACCTGTCAAAGCATTTTAATAAAATGAAGCTCATGAGTTGCTGAGTTGGAGAACACTGGCTTTGTATTTCAGCTAGCATATTAACTCATAGATTGGAAGAACTTTCCACTGGCATCAAACAAATGTCTCCACCATGATAAATAATTCATGTAAACCCAACAATAGGAAGAAACTCATGGTCAAACCTTACCAAACAAAAGAGGAAAACATTTTCTATGCAGGGTGGAATTGTCATATGTCTACCTATGGAGTTTGCATACTGTTTTTGAATGTAGTCATGTAACATTCATATTTTGCATGTGGCTCAATTACTTGTACTATTTGTAAACTCTTACCTCCAAGTTTGCATTGAAAGGAGGAGCTTACAAGGCCTGAAAGTGGTTTGGGTGTGAGAATAATTATCTTGTATATAAGTGGAAGCCTTCAGACGGAACATGCAGAAAGACCAGCTTACCAGCATCAAGGAGAGTCATAGTCCTTGAGGTCATCACTGGCCTTTGTTCTAATTCTTTTATAATATTCTCTCTCATTCTTACCAGCATCAAGGAGAGTCATAGTCCTTGAGGTCATCACTGGCCTTTGTTCTAATTTTTTATAATATTCTCTCTCATTCTTACCAGCATCAAGGAGAGTCATAGTCCTTGAGGTCATCACTGGCCTTTGTTCTAATTTTTTATAATATTCTCTCTCATTCTTACCAGCATCAAGGAGAGACATATATCTCTCCTGTCTCCTGTAGAGAACACCCAGCAACAACTTTTTATTGAAGTCCCAGTTTGTACATTTCTGAAATGATCGCCCCAAATACACAGACCTGTATTGTTGTCATAGTACTTGAGGTCATCACTGGCCTTTGTTCTAATTCTTTTATAATATTCTCTCTCATTCTTACCAGCATCAAGGAGAGACATATGACGTCCTGCAACTGTATTCTGATATCTCTGAGTCTATCCAATGTGTGCTGCAACATTATCTCTTCCGCCAACTTCCTGATGAACTATGTTTGGCCATCATTGCTCAAGTCCTCAAATGCATTTTATATCCTCTATTATCTGACCCTGTGTGGCATGACATCCAGCTCTTGGCTTACCGCCAGCCTGTGCTTCTTCTACTTTATAAAAATCCAACATTTTCAGCCCGGAATTCTTGCCTGGGTGAAGATGAAGATTGATAAAATAGTTCCTTGGCTGATAGTAACTGCAGTGTTTGTCTCTATGTTGGTGGATTCTTATCATTGCTCATTTCCAGTCAAGAAATACCTAAAAACTCGACCAAGTTCATCTTTGAGGTGAACTTTGGGCAAAAGAAGACATTGTTTCGTACATCCCTCATTATGAACTCTTTGGCTTTCCTGGTTGGGATAATGTCAACATCTTCTAGTGTGTGGTTCCTAAAGGTTCGGAGAAGGGCTGGGGCATTTGGCACCACCAATGTCAGAGATTATCAGAGCTCTGTGCAGACTATGGTTCGCCTGGTTATTTTCTATGCAGTAATTTACCTGGCTTTGATCATTCATGGGCTGGAAATATTCCCCAACATGAGTTGGGGGTACTGGTTGTGCATGATACTCCTCTTCTCTTTTGCTTTAGTCCAGTCTATTCTCCTGATCGTTGCAATCCCAAACTTCAAGAGTCTTGGAGACAGTTATTTGCTTTTAGATAAATTCTGCATCAAGAGGGCCGACTGACTGAATCTTCCATTGTAATGTAGACATTTTTTATTTGGTGATTGTATGGGAATGGTAGCTTCTGACTAGCCAGCATTTGTGACTTGTCCTTGTAAATTTATCCATTTGGCTATGAATGAAAATAGGGAAATAGCTAAAAAAAAAAAGCTATAAATGTGGAAAGTCAAACTTTCAAACCACACCCATACCGCTCTAACAGTAAAAAAAAAAACAAAAAATCCCACATCATTTCCGGGTCAGCAACAATAAGGAGAGGAGAGGAGAGTGCCCTCCCCTCTACCCATCACTACACTGGTCTCGAACCCGTAGATGGCAAATACATAGTTGGGGGCACAAGCTAGGCGGGGGTGGGGCAGTTTCCAGTAATGTGTGGATTGGGTGGCAGTACAGCAGCTTGAATGATTCCATCTGGCAAGCAGGAGTTTGCTTGTCAGATGCAGCCACCGGGAGTGTGTGTAAATCGCCCCCCTTCCACTCCCCGCTGTCAGGTCTGTATGACGTAGAGACCCTGGCAGTGAAAGGGTTAAAGTGGTTGTAAACATAAACATTTTTACCTTTATGCAATCTCTATCTTAAGGTAAAAGAACCTTTTACAGGCAGCTCACCCTGCAGCCCCCCAAAATACTCACCTGAGCCCAATCTCGGTCCAGCACTGTGCATGCAGTTCCTCTCCCTCTCCCGGCTCTCACAGGATTGGCTGAGAGCAGTGGGAGCCATTGGCTTCTGCTGCTGTTAGTCAAAACCTGTCAGCAGAGAGCAGGGGGGCGGGGCAGAGCTGGGTTGTGTGTCCAAATAGATACTAACAGCCCGTCTCGGGAGCACGCCTGCACGAGTGCCCCCATAGAAAGTGGCTTCCTCAGGTGGGGGGGGAGCACCAGTGGAGGACCCAAGAGGAGGATATTGAGGGCTGCTCTGTGTAAAACAATTACACAGAGCAGGTAAGTATAGCATGTTTGTTATTTTATTAAAAAACGGGAAGCTTTAGTATCACTTTAATGTTAAACCGCTTCTAACCAAGTTCATTGAGTGGCCAAATGACATCTTCTTAAAGCAGAACTCCATGTCAATTTTTTTTATTTTCCCATGCACTGGGGCTGTGCCCTGCAGGGGAAAACTGCTGGTTTTTTGTCCAGGGGTTGAGGGAAGAGCTGTATTTGCCCTGTCCTTTGCGATCCTCCAGAAAACCACGCTCCCCCAAGCCCAACAGTGGACTCTTCCTGCCATCTTCCTGCCGGTCTATGGGAATGATGACATCAAAAACAGTCCATTCACAAGACTGCTGGTGTGCAGGGAGGGCAGAAGAGGCAGGGACCAGTCTTGCTCTCCAAGGATCAGCAGATTTAGTACGTATATCTTCACTCTAGACAAAAAATGAGCAGTCAGCCCATGCAGTGCGGGCACAACCCCACTGCATGGTTCAAAATATTTTTAGCCCGGATTTCTGCTTTGAGTGATCTGAGACTGAATAGTTTTCTTCCAATACCAGAATCACAATATAGATATTTGTATATTGTTATCATATCTCTATAGGCTTCTTATCCTTGGGGAGAATAGGTTTAATGTATGTAACTGTTCCTCATAGCTGAGGTCCTCCAGTCCCCATAGCTGAGGTCCTTAACCCCCCATAAATGAGGTCCTCCTATCAGGACTCATGTCAGGGTCTGGATTCCCAGCAAACAGCTTATCCTAGCAACTATACTCCACCTGATACTGGCTTCTGGGAAGGTATTTAATCCCTCCCTTGTTGAATACCAGTGTTTCAGTGTTCTACCTGTGAGATGTGTCTCTGCCTGATCCTGTACCTTGTATCCTGTGACCTGCTTCCAGCAAAATGCACCCTGCACCCATTATCCTGTAACTTGTTCTGCTACCGTTGTTACCTATCCCAGTCCTGATCCTACCCTAGTCATGGGATCTTCCTCCATTTTGTATAGTGTTTGGTAGGTTGTTGTTCTGGATTGCTGCATGTTTATTTCTCACTGTTACATTGTTTATGGTTTGTTGGTGTGGGAGGGGTATTACTCATATTATTAAACTTCATTTAATCACACTTGGTCTGGTTCCTGATTCCTTGAGGTGTAGCCCACTGATCCGTTCAATCCAGTATTTGGCATCCCTCCAGCCCCCCATATTAGCTTTGTAACCTTTCTCTGGACTCTCTCCAGTTCCAGCACGTCCTTTATGAGGACTGGTGACCAGAGCTGGACAGCATACTCAAGATGTGGCTGGACCAGAGTTTTCTATTTTAAATTTATTATTATGGGTAAAACTCCTTTTTTTTCTTTTTTTTACCTTTCTCCAATTTTTATAAATAAATCTAAAAAATGTTTCTTAATTGGGCTGATGGGACGATATACACAGGGGCGGACTGACCATTTGGAAACTTGGGCACTGCCCGAGGGCCGGGGGTAAGTAGGGGGCTCCATGAGATGCCCCTGGTACCTTTTTCATAGGCTTTTTTGAGTTTGGGCAAGGACACAGGAGCCCCATGATCCCCTATTGCCTGGGGGCCCCATGATTTGTCAGTCCGCCCCTTGATATACACTATATTGCCAAAAGTATTGAGCCGCCTGCCTTTCCACGCACATGACCTTTAATGACCTCACAATCTTAGTCCGTAGGGTTCAATATTGAGTTGGCCCCGCCCTTTGCAGCTATAACAGCTTCAACTCTTCTGGGAAGGCCGTCCACAAGGTTTAGGAGGGTGTCTATGGGAAGGTTGGACCATTCTTCCAGAAGCACATTTGTCAGGTCAGGCACTGATGTCGGGGGAGGAGGCCTGGCTCGCAGTCTCCGCTCTAATTCATCCCAAAGGTGTTCTATGGGGTTGAGGTCAGGACTCTGTGCAGGACAGTCAAGTTCCTCCACCCCAAAACTGGCTCCTCCATGTCTTTATGGACCTTGCTTTGTGCACTGGTGGGCAGTCATGTTGGAACAGGAAGGGGCCATCATATTGTCACCTGAAGAGTTCCCTTAACTGGAACTAGGAGGCCAAGCCCAACCCCTGAAAAACAACCCCACACCGTAATCCCCCGTCCACCAAACTTTACACTTGGCACAATGCAGTCAGGCAAGTACTGTTCTCCTGGCAACCGCCAAACCCAGACACGTCCATCGGATTGCCAGACAGAGAAGCGAGATTGGTCACTCCAGAGAACACGTCTCCTCTGCTCTAGAGTCCAGTGGTGGCGTGCTTTACACCACGGCATCCAACGCTTTGCATTGCACTTGGTGATGGAAGGCTTGGATGCAGCTGCTCGGCCATGGAAACCCATTCCATGAAGCTCTCTACGCACTGTTGTTGGGCTCATCTGAAGGCCACACCAAGTTTGGAGGTCTTTAGTTATTGACTCTGCAGACAGTTGGTGACTTCTGCGCACTGTGCGCTTCAGCATGCACTGACCCCGCCCTGTCATGTGACGTGGCCTACCACTTGGTGGCTGGGTGGCTGTTGTTCCCAGTTGCTTCCACTTTGTTATAATCCCACTAACAGTTGAGCGTGGAATATTTAGTAGCCAGGAAATGTCCCGGATGGACTTATTGCCCAGGTGGCCACCTATCACGGGACCACACGTAAACATATATGTTAAAATAACTTTTTTATATGTTAAAAAAATCTGAAGAATATATTCAAAAAAATACATTTTTAAAAATCTAGGTTTCAGTGAGTTATTCCTAAGAATTACAGGCCTACAATAAAAAATCAACATATTTCCATGCAAAAAAATGTACCGCTTTAAGCGCAGAAATATGGACATCATCAGACCGCTAGGGAGGTTAAAGGGCTTCATAATACACTGCAATTTAGAAACAGTTTCTTGAACAAATAAATATATTGTTTTTTTTTTCTTCATCAACTTCTAAAATCTAAGGATTGCCTACAATCCCTCAAATACAAGAGAAACTAAGTAAAATAAATATAAAAAAAAACACATAAAGTCAACAAATTGACCTGTTGTATGTGCTGAGCCACTACACTCAACGTATTGCCATAACTTTCTATATTTGCAATAATTGTTTTTTATTGTTTTTTTTTTTTTTTTTTGTGTTCTTTTTTTGTTCATTTTTTAGTTTTTTTGTTAAATTCTCGCTGGGGTCCAATAGAACATGCAATACCAACCAACACAAATTAAAATACACAACCATAGGTGTGGAGTCAGCCTAAAACACCAAAAAAAATAATACTGAATATTGTTGTCATGGAAATTATTTCCAGGGAAAATCAATAAAATAAACATGAAGAAGCACATAAAGTCAGCCGATTGACCTGTTGTATGCTGAGCCACTACAATCAAGGTATTGCCATAATGTTTTTTTATTTATATGAATCTTTTTTAGTTTTTTTATTCTGTATATTTTATATTCAAATATTTTTATTTTTATTGAAAAAACAAAACAGAGAAACCAAAAGAAGTGTTTAACATACATGAGAAAAAGAACAAATATCATCATGAGAAGATTCACATTTGGGGTGAACATTGTTTAACGAAGGGAAAGGATATGAGTGAAAGGAATAGAGGACCCCCACCATTTGGCCGGGGGTCAAGGAGATTTCGTATATTCTGTATATTTTAGAATACCAAATATAAATATTACATATAGTCTAGGGTCAGAGGAGGACGCAAGGCACCACATCCCATGCGGTAACCATAGAAAAGACAGGAAATGCGCCGGATGAGCTGGGAAGGTGCCAATAATGTACTATAAAATAAGATAAAAAAAAAATCATAGTTTTTATTGATCCATATCAGTTATAAAAATACTTATATTGTCTTTTTAATTGAAATGGATCAATCAAAATTATGTTTTTATTTCATATTGTAGGCACCTTAAAAATCCCAGATCCTTTGGAGCATTTCCTGTCCAATATAATACATAATATTGTTATGGAAATTATTTCCAAGGAATTTATTTAAGTCAAATAAATATAAAGAAACACAAAGTCAAAAAAGAAATATTGATGGGAGAGAGGATCTGGAGGACACATTTTATTCTGCTTAGTTCAATCAATATATTACCATAACTTTTGTTTACTTATATTCATCTTTTTCCATATAATTTTATATGTTTTTTTTTTTTTTTTGTTTTTTTTTTTGGTTGTAAATTTTATTGAAAAGAAGCAGAATATGACAAAGTTACAAATGACAGAAACCCCTGCGAGCTGCTATTTCATAATAAAAATGACAAATTAGGGGCATGGTTTCACTCCGGGAAACGCGGCACTGTTGAAAATGTACTAATAATATAACAAAGTTACATACAATTCGAGAGAAAAAAAAACACGATGAAGTATAACAAATGGGTCAACATGAAATATAGATATTACAATCCTGTAGGTCAGGATATCAAGGAAATGAACACAGCATGTAGACGGAAAAATCTCATAAAATGAGGGTATCGATTAGAGCCAGGGGCGGACTGACCATTTGGAAACCCGAGGGCCTGGGGTCAGTAGGGGGCCCCATGAGATACCCCCCTGGTACCTTTTTCATCGGCTTTTTTGAGTTTGGGCGAGGACACAGGGGCCCCATGATCCCCTATTGCCCGGGGGCCCCATGAGTTGTCACTCCGCCCCTGATTAGAGCAGCAAACAAGTATAAAAAATGCAAAATAGAGTTCATGGTCGGCAATACAGAGGCTGTGGCCAAGCAGCTCGGCATATGCAATCATAGGGAACAGCCTTTTGAGAGAAAAAAAGAAAAAAAGGGGGGTGTCAGGAATAGCGAGGGGAAGTCAGTTGCTTCCCTTCCCCTTTTTCGTAGGTAGAATAATTAGTAGTAAAAAAGGAAGGAGATCACCTGTGAAGGACGCTAAGATTGTATCACTCAATGCACTAACTAAAAATACATAAATAAATGGGCAGACTGGGGACCACTCGGTGTTTTTCTGCCGTCACTTTTCTATGTTTAACCTGTACTAGAGAGTGAGGAAAGTAAGTAGGAAAGACAAAAAAAAACATAACAGAGATTAAGCTTGCTTCAAATTTTTTTATTTTTATTTTTTTGGGGACCAATAGAAATGATGTCCCTCAAAATGCACATGCAGCTCTGATCAAAACGCATTAAAATACACAACCACAGCTGTGGAGTCAGTCTAAAACACCATATATGCTATATACCGTATTTTTCGCTCCATAAGACGCACCTGACCATAAGACGCACCTAGGTTTTAGAGGTGAAAAACAAGAAAAAAAAATATTCTGAACCAATGGACTGCAGACATAGTACAGGGGATGACCAGAGACTGCGGACACAGTACAGGAGATGAACCAGAGACTGCAGACATAGTACAGGAGATGACCAGTAGACTGCGGACAAAGTACAGGAAAATGGATCAAGAAAATGCGGACATAGTACAGGAGATGACCAGAGACTGCAGAAAACCTGTACAGGGAGATGACCAGAGACTGCAGAAACAGTACAGGAGATGACCAGAGACTGCGGAAACACAGTACAGGAGATGACCAGGGATCTGCGGACACAGTACAGGAGATGACCAATATATTACCACTGCGGACACAGTGCAGGAGATGAGCAGAGACTGCGGACAAAGTTACAGGAGATGACAGAGAACCCTGCGAGACATAATGCAGGAGGCATGGTTTCACTCAGAAACGCGGCACTGCGGAATGACCAGAAGTGCGGGACATGCAGGGAACAAGAGACAATTCGAGAGAAAAAAAAACAGATGAAGGGAATGACCAGAGACTAGCGGACAGTGTAGGTCAGGATATGCGGACAGTGCAGGAATGAACACAGCATGTAGACGGAAAAACCATAAAATGCGGACGATTAGCAGGGGCGGACTGACCAGAAACCCGCAGGGCCTGGGGTCAGTGAAGGGGGCCCCATGACAGATACCCCCCTGACCTTTGGGGAGGGAGCTTTTTTGAGCGTGTTGGGCTGAATTTGACAGGTACCCGCTCCCACTTCCCGGGGTTGCCTTCCCTCTTCTTCAGGGCCCCTGCTTCTGTGACAGCAAACGGTGCCCACTGCGTTCATGGTCAGCAAGACAGAGGCTTGCCAATTTGTGATATGGCCCATAGGGAACGCCTTTTGTGACCTTTCAGGAAGTAGCATCAGTGTCCCTTCCCCTTTTCGGGTATCATTAGTAAAAAGGCAGCACCTGCGCAAGTGGGCACTCGGCACTAACAAAAATACATAAATAAATGGGCAGACTGGGGACCACTCGGCGGTGTCGTCACTTTTCTATGTTTAACCTGTACTAGAGTGAGTGAGGAAAGTAAGTAGGAAAGACAAAAAAAACATAACAGGAGAGAACAGCTGCTTCAAATTTTTTATTTTGATTTTTGGTTGGGGCCAATAGAAACCGGACCCCCTTTGCACATGCGCTCTGATAACACGCATGAAATTTTCCCCCACAGCTGGGGGGGAAAAAAGTGCGTCTAAAACGAAAATATGCTATATAATATTGTTGCCATGCAAATTATTTTTCTATTGATTTGATTTGATATATTATTTATTTATTTATTTATTTATTTATTTAATTATGTATTATTTTTTAAATTTTTATTTTACACAATTCTCTATGTCTTCTTTTTTTTTTCTTAAATATATCTATTCGCTTTCTATCTAAAAAATCTGACACTGTGACATAGCCACATCCTTATAAAACCGCAATAACCTTCTCTAATTGAGCAATTTTTGGAAACCCTGTATTGGGTATATTAAACTCAGGTATCTACGGCCTGCTATATGCTACATACACACTTATATATGTGTTTGGAATCCACGCACTGTGACTACCTGGCTCCTCACCCCCATATGCATTTTTGAAAAAGCATCAAGGACCTGATCCTATTTCAAGTTGACAGGAGTCTTCTTGATCTTTATTGATGGTAATATATCCACATTTTGTGTGTGTTTTGTTTTCGGGGTCACTTGATGCCTATGATCTATATATTTATCATTTTTCTCTATATATATCCTCAGAATCATTTGGTACTGTGGACCTTGTTTTACTTGGGGTGGCTATCCAGGAAGTCCCTACATTTGAGAAGCGGGCATGATAGTCTCATTATTGAGAAGGTAATAGTAGTATCCATTGACCAATGTGGAGGGAGGCCTGGTGAATTTTGGATGTGAATTGGTTTTCATATTCCTATACATACATTATGTATTTTTGTGTTCCAGCTCTTACATTCCAGGAGGTCCCTGACATATATGGGGAACACATCTGTTGAACACATGGTTTACTCGAATTTAAGTGGGAAACCCACGGAAATCCAGGATAACTATCGCATCATTACACAGCTCTGCCTTATATGGTGCTCTATTTGCTAAGATGACCCTAAATTGAAGACGCTAAGTGTTTTTTAACATGATTTTATTTTTTTTTTTTCATATGTACACCGTGCTTATGTTTAACCTCCCTATGATCTATGTGATCAAATAAAGTATTGTTAAAAATTCTTTTGAATTCATATTACTCCGCGTGGATCATCTAGTAACCTGCTTTTTTAGGTAGGGGTGTTCTTGTCACACTACCATATTGTTTAGTAAGTTGTCAATCCGCCCCTGATTAGAGCAGAAAACAAGTATAAAAAATGCAAAAT